TTCCAATCCGGACTCCGGATCCGGACCGATGAATCTGAGAGCCATTTGTATCCTGAATGCCACAGTAAAGATCAAAGGACTTTAGGCACGCGCTATGTTCGAGAGCGGAGATGTGCGTCCTTCTGTTGAATTACCTTGTGTGATTGTAGCTTAAGGCTGGGGATTAAATTTCTCAAGAAAGTGTCTAACGGCAACGAGTCATGGGGAAAAAGTATTGACCAATAAGAACAAGGCCAGGAATATGCGCGTGTCAAAAAGCACACTGTCGTTGTGTGGGACCTTTTAGCAAAGATAATAAATGGCAGAAGATAGAGCAGCTTCCCAATATAGTGGAACATCCGTTCGAAAGCATTGTGGGTACACGGAGGGCAATTTTACTCCGTCCGCGCGGCGGCGCTATATAGTAATAATAAAGGCGCCGCTCTGGTTCGTTTGTTTCCAGTAGTTTCTCCACTTAGTAAAACGTTCAAATTTTACCCCATTCGCGGGAGTGCGGATGTTCCATCAATTTTAATGCAAATACGCGGAACAGCTCATTCTTCTGCAATAGGTTATTGCTTTTAGCAACAATATTTAAGGAGCAGCAAGCCTTAGCGGAAAGGTTCAGCAGTCAGATTGACCAGCTCATCATTTCCTGACCCAAGATGCCTTTTGAAACAACAATGGTGCACAAGCTGCAGCGACAGTGGCGGATCTAGAGGAGGTGTATAGGGTGGTTAGCCACCCTCCTCGGTGACTGTAAAAAATGGTCACTTGCCTTGTGTGTGTGCTTCTCAAGTATACATGTATACTCTCGTAAAACATAATCCTTTCTAATTTATGCTTAACTTCTTTTTAGATGTCATCCAAGAGCACCTAGACGTCTACTAATTCTAGACGTCTACTAATTCGATACGATTCATCCAAAAAAAAAAAAAAAAAAAAAAAAGCGGACACAAAAATCTATAGCGGAGGGGGATGTGTCCGCAAATATGTGTGAGGGGTTGGCTCCCTCACTTTTCATCGCAATGTCAAAATTTCTTTAGTCAAGAAGATGCCTGAAATTTGTTGAAATGAACTGCATGCATTGATGACCTGTATAACCGGTATTCTATCTTTGCCCACAAACATCTGAATTACTACTACTACTAATACTAATAATAATAATATTAATATTAGTTTTCGGCACAATAAAAATACATTAAAACTCAATAGAGTTTTATTTTCTATGGAACATTACAGCGATTAATTAGATGTGCATGAATTTTACACTATAAGACTGTCATGTCTGGCAATCTAAAGGTATTTCCCCAAATGTTCCCGTAGGCCGAAAGTAAATACATCAAAGAAAATTTTTTTTATTTTTATTTTCTAAGTACATCACATATATTAATTAGATTTGGTTGCCGCAAATCGCTGGTAAAACATCATTTTGACTACTAGTATATGTGATGACGATGAATTTTATTATAGGCCTATAGAGTGTTATTTCCGACCATCTACTGCTAAATATTTCCTAACATTTTCGAACCTCAGGCCTAACCATGGTGGGCCTGAGGTGGGTGTGGACTCACGAAATGTTCCATTCACCTTTACAAACATATCTGCACCCTTGCAAAAGCCACACCTTCCCCACCCCCGCTTGGTGCTTCGCAAATCGCATTATCCACCCCCATTCCTAAATCCTAGATCCGCAACTGAGCGAATGTAATTAAGCACTAGCCACTAATCTTGGTGATATAATATTATGACACCATGCCAGACTAGCTGTCATGAGGTTGTGGGTTCGATTCCCACTTGTTTCTGATAGTTTAACTGCCAGCGTAATTAGCTACTTTTCCAAGTTTGATTGGTTCAGGATGGTGTTTTAATAAGTTTGATAAAATTGTAAAGCTAAACAAAACAAATTAACTCAAATTACAATACAACCAAAATAACGATTTAGAATTTAATCATTATTCCTGAATAGATAAATCACATGATTCGTGAAGTAACATCATCTCACTATTCAGGTCCATCAAGTCAATGGAATGATGCATTACATTCTGACATCATTCACTACAATAAGCATCTCATATAATTTCTTTTAACTTTATGTAAAAACAAAAGATCTACATAGGTATGGGGCTTGTCTGTATATACACTCAGTACAATACCTGTCTCTTATACACATCTCGCATTATCCACCCCCATTCCTAAATCCTAGATCCGCAACTGAGCGAATGTAATTAAGCACTAGCCACTAATCTTGGTGATATAATATTATGACACCATGCCAGACTAGTTGTCATGAGGTTGTGGGTTCGATTCCCACTTGTTTCTGATAGTTTAACTGCCAGCGTAATTAGCTACTTTTCCAAGTTTAATTGGTTCAGGATGGTGTTTTAATAAGTTTGATAAAATTGTAAAGCTAAACAAAACAAATTAACTCAAATTACAATACAACCAAAATAACGATTTAGAATTTAATCATTATTCATGAATAGATAAATCACATGATTCGTGAAGTAACATCATCTCACTATTCAGGTCCATCAAGTCAATGGAATGATGCATTACATTCTGACATCATTCACTACAATAAGCATCTCATATAATTTCTTTTAACTTTATGTAAAAACAAAAGATCTACATAGGTATGGGGCTTGTCTGTATATACACTCAGTACAATACTGTACTACTGTAGCTAAGAATTTCAATACTAAAAATATGTCATTCAAATATTTTCCCACAACTCAAAGGGATGGCATGAACAGAAATAGTTTTCATGCTAATGTTAAGTGTTTGGTTATATGATTAAAACTGATTTATGTTTTTTTAGATATGTGTTTTCCTCCAAAACTTGGAATGAAAGAGTACAGAACCGAAAAAAAATGTCCGGCTCGTGGTTTCGATGGAATATAATCCTATTTAAAAAACGTACTGCCACGAAGGGACGTGTCTTTAAAAGACGAGTTTCGACTAAACTCTATTCAAATTCTAATAGGGCGCCCTCTATCTTGTGGCAGTACTTTTTTTAAAAGTTTCATTGCCTGCATACAAAATCAGGACAGTCAGGCCACTTCCAATTACATCAATATATTTGGCTTCCATGTTCTGTCACCACATCAGCCTTTTAAGCTTTGGCATTCGCATTCTTTATACTATTAAATGAAAGTTAGCAAACTTAAATAAATATGGTGGCACTGAAAAAATGCTCTTGAAAAAAATAGAATATGAAGACCATACATACACTGGAACTGACGTTCTAAATATTGAAATCCACGAATATAATTAACTCCAATGTAGTACCATATGCCATTGTCATTAATATTATTGTCATCATTAGTATTATAATTATTAACACTATTATCTTAATAGTAATGAAATAGTTAATAACATTGAAGTATTCAAAATAATTATTCATTCATTAGTGTCATTCCTTTTAACCTTTAAACATTGTCACTGCTATAATTTGTATATAATAAAAATAACAACAACAATAACAATAAAAATAATATTAATAACAATATGAGCAGTGGTGGCTCCAGTAATTTGCTGGGGGGGGGGGGATATTGAACTAATGATCACCACTAGCACCACCACTGAAACTTAGGTGAACAAACATTACCAGATAAGGCCACTGTTAGAGCACATATTCCACTAGGAATCTGAATTAATGTGGATAATGTTATATTAGATACAGAATTTGTGCCATGGAGGTCTCACCACGAAATGAGACGCATCACTGGTGAAATCATACTGAGATATTCACCAAAATAGGTCACAGTGAAATTTTTTACAAAAGTCGGATTTTAATGATTGTATACATTTAATATGAATTTTCTTACTAAAATAGTGTACTCCATGCATGTTCTGTAATTCTAGTCCTATTATTTGTACGGGTTAGTTTATCTTAGGAGCTAATTTTCTCAAAACCTGGTTCTCATGCACCTAAAGTTTAAATGCTCACATCTCTGGATCTACTCATCTTAGGGAAGCCAAAGACCAAACCAAAGCTTATAATGTGATCTATCCACATATTGTATAATATAAACTAAATTTTTGATATTCCAACCCTGAGACTTATTTCTTGGAGAGACCTCACATTTGTTTGTGACAAATTTATAGGCATAGTAAAGAAAATTAAAAGAAACTCGGGAATACTTTCCTCCAATTTCCAAATGTTTAATTTCAATACATGGGGGGGGGGAGGGGTTACTTATTATATATTTTATATTAACAAAATTAGTTTACAAGGAATCACATTTCGCTCAGGCAATACCAAGTTTTCCAACTTTTGTAACAGCTTTCTTATCATTTTGTAGTTTAGTCTTCCTTGTGCCGAATGAATAAAAGAATTTTCAAACTTGTTAGCAGATAAAGCAGACTTTTCAAGTTTGTAAAATGCATTTCCATTTCTATGTCTTCAGATTTCTGTAGTAAATGAAACATTTCTGTGGCACCTAATAATTTGCCTTGAGTGTTGTCTAGAGAAAATGTAACCAAAGATCCTGATGGAAAAAGTCATTGTTTTGGACTTCAAACTTATGATAAATTTCCATAGAAACTAGAACTAACCACGGAAGTTCTGTAGTACTTGCATAAAGAAAATATATTTATGTTAAAATTCTATATTTATGTCATTGGTAGATAAATGTTATAATTACTGAGTGCATGAGCATGTAAATAAAAATTGTTAATGAGTGACTTTTAACTGATTAATAACTCAATTTTTATCACAGGCTCTAACTAAACAATACATCACAAGTACAAAATGAACTAAGAAACAGCCACCATCTACCAAGAAATATGAGCTACAAAGAATAGTTGGATGCGTCGATAATTACAAATGTTATGATACAAATCTAGATATTTCCCCTCAAAGGCCATGTGATATCTGAAAGCAACATATGATAACTTCGTAATTAAATCATCAGCCACAAGAGAATATTATAATTTTCAATGTTTCATGTTTTAATAAAAGAATGGATGCAATACCATCTTCCTTAGTTCAACAGATTGCGTATCTCCTTATGCATGTGACACAAGAAGTCAACGTAAGATGCTGTGGCATTTGACCCCTTGTCCTCTACTAAGAAATGACGGAACCATCCTTCCAGGGCATCACGTTGACGAACCAGGGTTAGCTGTGGAGGCAAGGTTAAACCATAAGGTAATTCAGTTTCCCTAATAAAAACAACAAGACGTAATTCAATGGCTTTAGCAGTAAGAAAAAGCTGTTCTAATCTGGAAAATTTAAAGCCATATCCAAGTTTAAACTCATACAGTTCAGCTGGTAAATGATCTCTGAAGTAGTCAAAGGGAAAGATCATGGGTTTGAATATAAATTGATGTGATATCTTGTTCTGAAGACTGTGTGCGAGGTTAAAAAAGTGCAATCTTAGACCCCTTTTTGAGATCATATCACATAGTCGTACAGAATGCTATGTTGCAATAGAGACACTTCAGTAATCTGATTAATAAATTTATTAATCCATGAAGAAATAGTTTTCTTATTACTCATTTCATAGAGCTGGTCATGAAAAAAATATTTTTAAAATGGTGTGTGCTAACAAACCAAAAATTACATTTTATTTTGTAGGCCTACATGAAGTCATCAATATTGGCGTGCAGTAGAATCGCTAGTCTTGCCTAATGAAGTGGACTTACCTTCATGTACCTTGGCCTCATCTTCCTCACATCATCAACCACACTTCGCACCTGGTTTGATACTTTATTATCAATTTGCAGAAGTTTTTGAGATTCTATATTAATCTGTGCGGCTGAGTTGACACCAAAAACATTTTGTACCCAGTCCTGAGGCACATGTAGCCCAATCCACATAAACATTGAGAGTCCGTTTTCTAACAAGTAGACTCCAGTGTCACTGAGACGGTCTGCCGAGCAGCGGATGGCAACTGGTAGGGTGTTGGAGTCTGGGTTTAATTCATGCTAATGATGCATAAAAAAAAGAGAACAGAAAATACAAGGTAATAAAAGAAAGCACTGAGGCTTCTAAAATCGAAAGTGTTAGATGTTTTAAAAACAACACAAACAACTTTAAACCAGAGACCATTACCGTCACCATTACCAAATTACCATTACCGTCACCATTATCATTATCGTCACCTTTACCGTCACCATTAGTGTAAAATATTTTTATTAACATAATCACTATCATTGCGGTTTTTATTAAATTTTATGTTTTTATCGCTGTTATCATTATTATTTAACACTTTTATTATTCTAAAGAGGTTAACAAGATTAACATGATCAAAACAAGATCAGGTGTCATTTTCAGATATTAGGAGGGACCTTGTTTTATAATTGTTGTTATTGATGTGGTGCATACTTACCAAGGGTACCAAGCGAGGATAAAAGTAGATGTGGCTGGACGGGACATCCATAGACATGACCGTCTGCATCAACCAACTGCGATCGTCAGTCATGATCTCCGAGCTACCTTGCAAAGCGTCGCTCTTTATAATACAGTTGCAATAAAGCGGCAAGAGTTTCATACATTCAGGTAAGATCAACTGCAGTAAATAGATAGTAAAAAAGTAAAACGGTATTATAAATATTTTTTTCAACAATGATAATCATATCAATCAATTACATATGCCCTAGGCTCCAGCCAAGGCAATAAAGCACCAGACATGAAGTACCTGTAGCAGATATTCTTGAATACAAATTTCACAGGTTTCCTTTACAAAAAATATGTCCACTGCGTAATTGGCTTGTGTGCAGGGAATCACAACATCAACATTCCATTTTAATCAGTAGACATACCGTAAAACCTTGAATTGAAGCCCAGTGGACTTAATCTCGAGATGAAACCCATCTCAAATTGAAGCCCCCGCTTTAGTTTGCAAAATTAGCCTCGAAAAGAGGCCCAAGGGCTTCTTTTTAAGATAGCATAGGCTTCTTTTCGAGACAGTACAGTACATACACTGTACATGAATTTCAGAAAACAAAATAAATTAAATACAAGCTTGTTTTATAAAGTAGTTTAGTTAAATACACTCCATGATACAGATTGATGTTATAGTGGCCTTATATATTGTTTTATAGTACAAAATCATAACACTTACAGCATTCATTATGAAAAAAGGCCCCCCTCTTTACTATGCAAAAGTATCCTCAAAAAGAATTCCATCTCAAAAAAAGAACATCAAAAGTTTGCAAAAAAAAAGAAGCCTAGGGCTTCAATTTGAGGTTTTACAGTACTATGCTAGTAAGCATGACTTGCTCATTCATTAAATACATTCATTGAACACATTCCATATAATAAGCTATCCACTACATAATCTTGCATAAATGAAAGAAATGAGGTCCATTACATAATGACAAGTTGTTACATGCACTAGAAGACTGATTGTATAGGACCTTGTATTTCAACCCTCTGACCAAATATCTTTGAGGTTAAGTGCTAGTTAATCCCAGTTAAGCCAACTGAGCTATGTGATGCTCTAAATCACTTATGAAAAAATCACAAATACAAACATAACATATAAAGAGCAAACAGTGTATAGAAAAAAAGTTATGAATAAACATTTTAGAATAAAATTCATACATATTTAAATTAATTTGCATAAAACATACCTGGCCTTGTGATGATTGGCTAGCACAATTTTTCCTATAGCAGGCTAATATCTGTGCCGTTCAATTGACTAATCCATCTCGGATTGCTTTGGGATTGAAGGCCAATGATGCTGTCATTGCTATAAATAGAGAAAAAACAATATTGGCAAGATAGTAAGTAATGAAAAAAAAAAGAAACTCATAAGGCCAAATAGAAAAAATAACTAGTTTCTCATCCCCTCGCGAATTCATCTTCTCTGCCTCACCATCAGTAAAATTCCTCTCTTCATCTTTCATGGTTGGGCATACATATGGGATAAATTACACAAATCAATCGTGATGTTGGTAGTCTATGAGTGAGATACTTACCTGGATAACCGACTAATTGCCATTGTTCCCAAAACGGAACACCCCTTCGAAAAAAATGGAACAGACCGACCCAAGGCGCCACGTGCGAACCGTCTCCCTAACAAACATCCTCATTCCCTAAAGATCGACACGATCACGGCGAGGGTAGGAAGGGAGGGAAGGTTATCCAGGTAAGTATCTCACTCATAGACTACCAACATCACGATTGATTTGTGTAGTCTATTTCGTGAATACT